AATGTAAATCAAATTAAACGAGATCACAAATTCATAAGTTTTTATAAAAATTAATTATGATGGTTAGACAAAAAATTGATCAAAATACCAGAATAACTTTATTTAGAACAATTAAGTTTAAAAAACAATTTATTACTTGGTTGTGCTTATAAAATTGAACTAACAATTTATTTCATGGTTTTGCTCATAAAATTATACCATTTTCGTCGAGTAGTTTCAGAACAGGTCACTCATCTTTTTTGTAGTTTATTTCAAACTATGTATATGTAATTTTGTCGTTATATAAATTATAACAGTCTTATTTTAATATAACACAAATTAACGATATAAAAATTCATTAGTATTTATTCAAAAATAATTGATTGTAATGGTTTGGTAGAAAATGATAAAAACACCAGAATCCCATTTTTTAATACAATGAATTCAACTAACAATTTATTACACTGTTTTACTCATAAAATTTAACTAACAATTTATTTCATGGTTTTGCTCATAAAATTATACCATTTTCGTCGAGTAGTTTCAAAAGAGGACACTCATATTTTTTGTAGTTTATTTCAAACTAAGTATATGTTATTTTGTCGTTAAATTAATTTATATTTTGATGTAAATCAAATTAAACGAGATCACAAATTCATAAGTTTTTGTAAAAATTAATTATGATGGTTAGACAAAAAATGTATCAAAATACCAGAATAACTTTATTTAGAACAAATAAGTTTAACCAACAATTTATTACGTGGTTGTGCTTATAAAATTTAACTAACAATTTATTACAAGGTTTTGCTGAAAATAATGCATTAAGAACGAAAGAGGCGTTGCGATTGTGTAGTGATTATTGTGATACACGCTGGGTGACTACGTGCGCTTGACTTCGCATAAATGTGCAAACCCTCCCAAAACGTGGCAAGGCGTCGTGTAGCATCGCGTAGCGTCGCATCGCGTTGCATCGGGTAAGTGTGTTCCCGGCTTAAACTGTGCGTATGTCACGTTAATATAGGTTTATTGAAGTTAACAGTTTCAAAATAAGCCTCAGATCCTGAAATAAATCATCTTTAGAATTCAAAACTTTAAATAAAATTATTGTAAACAGCCATTACCAACAATGATGATTGTAATGATAATGACGTTAAGGGAATGTCAATCAAGAAAATAGATACAATGATAAAACTTATTGAATTTTTGTAGAATAGTTAAGCAGACGCCATCTACATCCCTCAATATTGTAAGTAGATGTAAAAATATTTTCAAAGCTCTGATAAAAGGGATATACATTTTGAAATGTATGACAAATAAATAAGTGGTTTTTTTCGCCTTATGGCTGATTAGGTCACAAAAAAGTGGTGAAATTCTAAAGCCAATATTGAATAATTTTTATAAAGCATATACTTTATTTTTGGCGGTAAAGCGAAAGTTGACATGATCGAATTCTTTATTCTAGTGTTGGAAAAATCAAGCGTAGGAAATAGCCGTTGGGAAAGTTTTGTGTCCGCCATTTCTGACGGTGGCCAAATAGCAAACACACATCTTTCTCGGCACAGGAAATGGGTCATCAGTTGTGCCTCATTTCCTTCCACTTGGGACTACGTGACCGTAAAAATTACAACATTGTTGATTACGGCTAGACAAAACGAGGGATCATTTTTAAAAAAGAAAGCTTATTTAATCAAAGACTGGCTACGAATAACCATAAACTTTATGATACATGAATTATATTTTTTGTATGTAAACTGCTTCCCTTAAGACAATTTTATAAATATTTTCTACAAATTTCTACACAATCTTTCGTTTTGACAAAATAGACAGGCTGAAAAGAAACTAGCATGGGTTGAATTGAAGAACTTTACAAAGCAAACAATGAGTCTAAGTAAAGTATTTCTCCATTGGGTACTCAGCCAGGTAATTCTAGCAAAAGGCTTTGTGGAGCATTACGGCTTTAGGGGCTTTGCGTCTTGTGAAGGTGTAGGGAGCCGCAAGGGCCGTTCTACAATTTGTCCAATTCTAAAGTCCCCCAATGAAAAAGTGTCGGCTGATCATGAAAGAAATATCCGACTATTTGTGGAACAATAAACGTCTTCATGTCATATTAAATCATTATTTTCACATTCTTTTTAATTGATTTTATCACAACCAATACCGTTCATAAATTTAATTAATTGAAAAATGTTAATTGGTCAATCGGATCACGAACTGTAATGGATTTAATAATTAAACTGAAGTGTATCTTCACGAAAGCTTTCCGTGGCCATTTCATTTGACGCCGAGAATCAAATAGATTACACGACATTTGAAAAATGGCAGAGGGAAAATTCAAAAGGTGGGGCTGAGATGGGTAGCTAGTGTCCGAGCGGATCGAAGTCAAGATAGGTCAAGTGGTAGAGTAGCGGCGTATTTAGCCGAAGGTCCTGTGTTCGAATCCCGCTCGTGACGCTGACTTTTTTATCTCAATTAATAACTTTCATAAATATTAATTAATTGAAAAATGTTAATTGGTCAATCGGACCACGAACTGTAATGGATTATTTTTAAATAGTTACACGCAAAATTGTTGTATTGATTATAAAAACGATTTTCATGATTATGAAACACTATGTTGAATCAGGAGAAATAAATAATTAGTATCAACTTTCCTTGTGAATTAGCAATTAAAGAATACTAATTGACAGCAATTAATGTTAATTCGGTTTTATCATCAACAATTTCATTTTATTTGCCATTAATTAAATTTGAATCAACATTTCATTTTATTTAATTAACTGAAATGTTTGTGTGTAAAATAAGATATAATTATTTTAAATATATTTTATTTAAGTTTTTCTTTGATGGCCTTATGTCTGGGGAGAGTGAGGAGCGTACAAAAAATTTCATACCCAACAGTAGGGATTGAACCCACGACCGCGAGGCCTGACGAGCCGAGAGTCTTACACAGTTATTTCTCAATTTTTTTGCTAAAATTAGAAGGCTACGAACAGGGAATAACTAATTTTAATCAAACTTTGTTTTGTGAAACTAAGAAAATGTATACTTTTTGACATATTTTTAATGATTTTATGCCAGTGAGCTGTGAAAAAAACATTTCAGCTAAGTTAATTATTTTTTTAACATTTTCTTTTATCTTTTTTGTGGTATATTTTACTATTCCGAAACAAATTGGAAGTCTAAATTGTATTTATTTTAGATTTAGCTTATCATTCATACCCTAAAAGGTTCAAAAAAGAACAAGGTGGCTATAATGTGTCTTTTTAGAATGAAACAAAGCTGACATTCATTTTCTACCCTCCTAAAACACCCACATAAAATACAAAATTTTGGAAAAATTAAAAGTATCTCTTCTTAGAAATTTCTACGTTTCAAATGTTGATTGGTTTTAAACAGAAAAAATTAAACAACATTTACAATCCAATCGAGATTTTAACCGAATTTAGCATTTTATAAGTCTATATCTAGTATTGCCAATTCATGTTTCATAAAAATCTTATCTTAACTAACTACAAAAAATATCTTGTCTTAACGCCCGTTGAGAAATCAAAATTTAAAAAATATATTGCCCAAGAGAAGTAAATATTTCAAATTCAATCTGTATTTTATTACTGAAATATTATGTATTGTACTCAGTCCATAAAGGTTTCCAGTAACGTTTAAGTCCATTAAAAACCTTGAATCGTAACCCGTTTCATGTTTTAGAAACAATGGTTATATTGCCTTTCTTTATCATTTGGAAAAATAAACTACTCGCCAAATATGTGCACAATTGGGGAACTCAGCTGTATAAATGTTGTACAGTATGGGAGCAAGAATGTACCCTTGAGACACGACGCTCTGTATTGCTTTATTATCTCAGAACTCCTTGTCGCTCCGCATTTTCCAGAACCAGGCAGTTAAATAGAACTCTAAAAAAATGTTACAAGGGAAGCGTTTCAGTTTATAAAGGATACCTTGATCCAGACACTATCAGAAACTTTGGCTACATCCAGGAACCGACTGATTTCATACTCTTCAAATTTTAGAGCAAATAAATGGTGCCATCGATTCTAAAACCTTGTTGCTTTGTTGAATGATGAGGATGGAAGCACAATGAAATATATTTTAGGAAATTCGGACCAGGGATTTTCTATATAGAGAATTGTGTATATTTTCTTCTGTAGGAGGGAAAACTTGTAAGGGTAATGAAGAGGAAGTTGTATAGATAGGTTTTGCATTAAATATTATGAGTTATCATTGTCATTTGTGTCTGGATGAGTTACGTCTGATTTTTAACTTTTTATTTTTTTGTACGACATGGAAGAGTTTAATGTTTGAGTGTATTATTAATGGTTGGAAAGGTCGATAACATTCACGACGATTTTTCAAGCGAGATGTAGTTTTGACTACTCTTAGATTCCAGATAGCTTACCAATCGTACAGTTTTCCAGGGATCAAAACACCCAAGCTACGTTTGGCTTTTCCGTCTTCCAAATATTCAATGATTCTAGCCGAATAACGGAAAACAAACTTTTTTAGAAACAAAAAACAGTTACTTAAAAAAACGTAAAGAATGAACAAGTTGTACTTATTCACAAACAAAACAATTTCCTATTTAAAGATTTATTTACAAAATCGAAATGCAACCATAAGGGGAAAATTCTATTTTTTTTATTATTTATTTATAATTCTTTAAAACTGTTGAAATATTATTTTGAAATGCTAATTGTGGGATGATCTAAGACAGGAGTAAAATATTGTGGGTCGCCACGTTTTCTTCCTCTCAGAATAAACCGGTCTAGGCTAAACCAGCAAAACTGCTTTGTCGTGCGGAACTGTCGGTATATTCCGCCTTTAATTTTCCTTCGTCGACGTTCAAGAATCATGCGTTTTTTAAGCAATTTATACGGTATATAATACTTGAAATTATAATTAATTACAAAATAAAAATGAACTCTTGTTTACTGAAAAATATATTTAATTATTTGTATACATTTATGTCATCCGAATAATCGTTTTATTTAAGAGAAGGTGTTATATTTGATTTCTTCTGCACTGTTACATCAGATTATATTATCCTAAATTTACCGCATTTTTATTACGTTTTTATCCTATACACTTTATTTTTCTCAACACATTGTGGGTTCCTATATTCATATCGCCATTTCCCTGTGCATAATTTATTTTTCTCTTAAGTAAACATTATACTTGTTATTTATTCTAATATTATTCAAGAAGCTGTCAAATTTAAATCGTTTCGCTATATCATACAATAAATTTATTGCTTGAATTCATACCTTATAACCAGTTATGAGAATGAATGATGGAAATACCCATAGATTTTCTCTTTTCGAAAATTTTCCTTGGTTCTAAAGAAAAAAAAAGACAGTGACAAATATATCATAAACGCATGATACAGACTAGAACCATCTGTTTCTCATACAAAAGTACATTATCACACAAAGATAAATACACACGAAACAATCCCACGAGGGATTAACCTAGAAAAGTTTTCTTTTTCTTTTCTTTGTTAGTTTTCTTTCTTTTATACAATACATACTACATAAAATTATTAATTTCAAAATTAAAATAGAGAACACTTATTTACCTCAAATTATATTTAATTATTTGTATATATTTATGTTATTTGAATAATTGTTTTATTTGAGAGTAAGTGTTATATTGGACTTTCTTCTGCACTATTAGATTAATTTTTCATAAACAAGATATTATATTATCATACTTTTATCACAATATTTTTACATTTTCCTTCTATACAATTTAGTTTTTGCAACACATTGTGGGTTCCTATATTCATATTATACCATTTCCCTGTACATAATTCATTTTTCTCTTAAGTAAACATTATACATTTCATTTATTCTAATGTTTGGTGTTTAGTGATCGTTGGTTAATGATTATTCGGAGATCGTGAGATGCGGTCTGGTGTGAAGTAGATTTTAGAAAAACATTTTCTTTATCTTGCCAACGTTTCGATCTTTACTGAAATCATCTTCAGTGCATAAAGTGTTTGTTTTCTGCGTAATTGTGGCATTCACACAAGAATGACACCATTACGCAGTAAACAACCACCCTGAAGATGATCTCACTAATGATCGAAACGTTGGCACGATAAAGAAAATGTTTTTCTAAAACCTACGTCACACCAGACCGCATCTCACGATCCTCGAATAATCATTTATTCTAATATTATTCAAGAAGCTGTCAAATTTAAACCGTTTAGCTACATCGTACAATAAATTCATTGCTTGAATACATACCACATTACAACCTGTTATGAAGATGATTGATGGAATAGCAATAGATTTCCTCTTTCGAAAATTTTCCTTGGCTCTAACACGAAAAAAGGACAGTGACAAATATATCATAAACGATCGATATAGCCGTGGACCATCTGTTTTTCATACAAAATCATATTATCAGACAAAGATAAATACACAAAATACAATCCCACGAGAGTTTAACTTAGAAAGGTTTTCTAACCAGAACAATAAATGGAGTTATGAAGCTCCTAAATCAATGATTAATTTTAATCACTGTCATCCTTTGCATTACCTCCGGCCCACCGCCTTTTTAGAAGTCGAATAAGTTTATCGGAAACACACATGAAGATTGATGCTTTACGTGAAAATTAGTGTGAGACTGAAGGTTAGTGTTATATGCCAACATCTATTATAAAAGTATAATTTAAGGTCGTTATGGGTGATGAAAATTTGGTTGAACTCCATAGCTGTATGCCGTATGACCACATTAGTTGCTGTGTTGTATTGTATATGTTATGTTGTTTTGTAGCGAATAGTTTAGATCTATGGTCTAATATTGCTACTAATACTTAGTACTACTAGTACTAGTACTAACTATTAATTAAGGTTTTTAGTTGAGATAAAAAAGTCAATGGCACGAGTGGGATTCGAACCCACGACCTTCGACTAAATACGCCTGCTCTACCACTTCATCTATCGTGACCTCGATCCACTCGGACACCAACTCCCCATCTCAACCGCATCTTTTGAATTTTCCCTCCTTTTTGCCATTTTTCAATCGCGCTCGTGCCATTGACTTTTTTATCTCAACTAAAAACGAAATTATTGAATTTTTTCACTTAGATAATATATTTACAAATTCACAACTCTTTAAAAATCTATACGTTACCATTATCATCCCATTACTATTTGCTGTATTAAAGTAAATATGCTCTCGTGAATTGAGTAAGCTTAGGGCTGGCCGAAGTGGAGCAGAAAAATTTGATTACACGATGAAAAGAAATAGAAGGGCTGAAAGAGTAGAATATTAGTGGCTCATTGTGCCATCTATAGCCTCCAGCAAACTTGGATACAGAGCGGCATTCAAATTTCTAACGAGATGTACCTTTTCTTTTATTGCATTTACCTCTGTGAAGAGAAATTATTCAACCTCATACCGGCGGCTTGTGCACTCCCAGTTTATTGTTCACACCGCAGCCAACGGTGTGGTTTTACGATATTACTAATAAAAACAAATAGGAATAGAAAATAGATTTCAAACCACGCCTCTGTTGTTGCATTCCTAATTCATACACAATTAACCATAAGATCCATAAATTCAAACAAAATTACAATAATTATTTGACCAACTTTCCTCACACGACAATTATTTAATTAGAAAAAATTAGTAATACGTAGGGAGAACACAGGTACAAAAAAGCTCGAAGTGACAATGGATTGTTTCAAAGTTTAATTAATTAGGGTAACATAATTACATAGTCGTTCAAACTGTTTGGACAAGAATCTCATAAGAAACATGCTTTCTTATTAGCATGACATAGTTAAGTAAATACATTTAATTATACGTTTTTCCGTTTCTTACAACCTGCATAATAATATTATCGCGTAATATATAACGACATGACTTACCTAATAATCTACCGACTCTTAATTTGACTTTATTTCTTCTTGCTCTACTTTCTCTCTCACTCACTCAATCTCTCAATCACTCACTCTCTCTCTCTCTCTCTGTCTATATATATTCATTCTATATATATATATTCTACACGCACTCACTCACACACCACACACACACACACACACACACACACACACACACACACACACACACACACACACGCACACACACACACACACACACACACACACACATATGTACTGTATTAATTCGTTGGTTTCTCGTAATTTCTCTCTCACCCTCTCTCTCTCTCTATCACTCTCTCTCTTTCGCTCTCTCTCTCACTCTACAACTATCTCCTTCATTCTATCTTAATATTTCCCTCACACATACAATCTCTCTCATTCTCTCTCTCTCTCTCTCTTTCTCTCTCTCTCTCACTCTACAACTATCTCCTTCATTCTATCTTAATATTTCCCTCACAAATACAATCTCTCTCATTCTCTCTCTCTCTCTTTCTCTCTCTCTCTCTCTCTCTCTCTCCTATTTTCTCTCCCCATGTCTTTCTAAATGTATATTCTATCTACATCATGTATAATTTTTATATGCTTATAATTCTTATGTATAATTCTCTTTTAGATATTTTAATATTTTTAGTTGTCTATTTATTTAGACATCTCTCATTCTCTTTCTCTTTACACATATGTCATATACACTTTCTACTAATAATTTTAATGTTTTTACTTCTTATGTCTTCTTTATCCATTTACTATACTTTCCTTTTTTATCTTCCTATTTTTATTGTTATTCCTTTCATATTTTTCTCTATCGCCCTTTTTTTAAACTGTCTCTCTCTTTTTTCACTGTAACCCTATGACTTTATTTAAAAATCTTTCTTCCTCTCTCGCCCTCTTTTTTTTCTCTCTCCCTCTTTCTTTCTTACCATGCCTTTTAAAAATTTTCCATTGTCTTACCATGTCTACATTATCTATATTTTTATAATCTTATAATTGTTTCATATAATACACATTTTCTTTTCGCTTTGGCTATTTTATTATTTTCAGTTGTCTATTTATTTAGACATCTTTCTTTCTTTTACTCCTTTGCACATATGACACATGTACACTTACAACTAATAATTTTAATCTTTTTACTTCTTATGTATTTTTTATCTATTTACTATAATTTCTTTTTATCTTTCTATTTTTATTGTTATTTCTTCCGTATTTCTCTTTCGCCATTTTTTTTCATTGTACCCTATGACTTTATTTAAAAATATCGCTCTCTCTTTTCCCTCTCTCTCCTTCCTCTCATTCTTTCTCTCCAAAAATAATCAGAGATAAAGCAAATTTAAAAGATAAACACTCAATGTTTTAAGGTTTTAAAAGCATAAATATCTACTTACAATACTTGAAATTATGGCACCTTTTATAATTTATATGAGAGTTTTGTTTTGAAAAGCGAACGAAAATTTCACTCCTTCATTCTTCATTTTGAGTGGGAAAAATCCCATGTCCTCTTTAAAACAATTTTTTATGGTTGAAACCATAATTTAGAGTATTGTAAGTAGTTTTGTATATTTTTAATGTTTCAATCATTAGTAATATTTGAAGGGGATATATTTTTCGAATGTTTCCTGGTTTTCTTTCATATTTAATTTAACCCGGATTTTTGTCCATGATCTAACCTACTTATCTACTAACCTAGTTTTAACCAATTTATATTGCAACTATTTTTTTTTTACTTTTCTATTAATTAACATATTTTTATAATTATTTAGAGATCGTGAGATGCGGTCTGGTGTGATGTTGCTTTACAGAAACGTTTTCTTTATCGTATCAACGGATATTTTTATAATTGACTTTGGAAGAAACCGTAAGAAACATATAAATGAATTTGTAAAAGATCTGTTCAATTTTTAGCTAAAATATATGCTTATAATAATTTATTTCCCTTTAATTCTGATTTTTAAGGGTTTTTCCGAATGAGCATAACGTGAGATGTAATCAAAATTCTGATAGAATCATTAGATTAAATGTAAAAGAATTATTTTTCGAAACATGCATATTTGTGATAATTTTTTCAATATAAAATGGCACAGTTTTTTGACGAACACATCCACCATTAAAAGCATATTTTGTTCTTCCCACACGTTATATATTACACACATATTTCGCATTCGTTTATACACATTCTACCGATATAAAATAAACAAATTTTACATATGTAACATATTTTCCCATCATTTTTCTGCAGAAATAAAAACAATCATTTTCCATTATTATCAATATATTTTTTTTTAAATTTTATTACTAGTTTCAAACCTTACGAAAGCGTGAAGAAGAAAAGCGAAAATGATCACCGGCTTAAAAACATAGAGATACGCTTTATGTTGTAGGGCCGGTAAAATAGGTCGAATCCCTCATAAACAACACTCACTGAGGGGGAATTCATGAGAAACCTAAGAAACTTTGTGCAGTTAGCATCTGCATGCCTGCAGCCTCATCTAAATGTATAATCTTCTCACACACTTCCTGTATTTGCATAATTAAACGATTTTTCTTTTCCTCTTTCTGTGTACAGTTTTGAAACAACATTTATTTAATCTAGAATCTTATAGATGTAAATGTGAATTTCGAGAGGTTTCTCAAGGTTTGACTGCTTAAAAATGACAAATTAGTAGAAAACAATTTACTAAAAAACGAAACATACAGACTTTTGTCATTTTTGACCACTGCGCTGTTATGCTTTCTTGGTGGCAGGAAGAGATTTTTAGAGTGCTTTATGGCCCAGACATTGGAAAGGTTGATTAGATTTCGCAGAACTGTTATTTCTTGTTTACCACAAGCTTGTAACGAAAATGCAGCTGATTTGAAAAAAACCGGATCCAACTATTTTGCATTTATTGAGCAAAACATATTTCCAACAATGGCATGTTGGTTAAAACATGGAGAATTTGGAATAATCCAAAAATTGTACTTGAAGAAAGGTTTTCGTCCTTCGCATGCAACGTTACTATGATTGACTTCAGGCTCAACCAAATTTTATCTGATCGTATCGTAAACATATCTGTACAGATTTGATCTCCCTCTTACAAATGAGATTGTAAACCGAACCAAACTGTGATTATCTCTTATGCGAGTGTGTCTAGTGAAACTGGGTTGAAAAAGCGTAACAAGTTAGAGAGAAATAATTATTTAGAAATCGTGAGATGGGGTCTGGTGTGATGTAGGTTTCAGAAAAACATTTTCTTTATCGTACCAACGTTTCGATCTTTATTTAGATCAACTTCAGGGCCTGGGATTTACATTGTTTGCATTTAACAAATACATTTAGGATGTGGAAAAAAGTGAATTTATACAATGCAAAAAAATATTTTTTATATTCAAACAATGTATTTCTAACACGACACGCA